AGTAACTCTAATGTGCGAATTTCTGAATATCTTCCAAGCAGTGTCAATAGGTGGCTATGGTCCTATTGCCTATCCTACTGAGCATGCAGACTGTATAATTTCTCGTATATTTGCTTTCAAGACGTTCAGTCTGACTTCAGAAGACACATCTTCGTAACGGACAACTATATGGAAATCGAATATTAAACTGTATGGTTACTTTCACCTACGAGTGGTATATAATGGAGGTTTGTGACGTCAGTCCCGTTGTAGGGAGCAATTTCCTACAGGTTTAATTCTAAACTATTCTCTAGACCGTCCAATACAGAGTCTTGGTTTGGTCAAAGTCAGAACAAGTAAGTTATTTGGCTATATAAACTTTATCTTTTTCTAAAACATAAATTTACATCGTTAGTGTACAAACAAACAGTACGGTCTATTAATACAGGGAAAAAGAGACAAATAATATACCGAACAGTAGCCAGAGAATAGGAAAAATGAGTCAACAAGCAAATATTGTTTTACAATGAACATTAAACTGTGATTGGTTAATAAAGAGATACAGTCGTAGAAGGTCAAAAGGAGTTAATGTGGTGGTGGGCGTTTCCCTTTATTATTGGTGGGTTCGTTTATCGATCACATTTTACACTCCCCCCGAAACACGCACCACGTCCATTGTCCAGGGTCGTCGTCGCCGTCAGACAATCGGCTTCTTCCAGAAGGCAAAAGCTTCGCACATCTCTGACGACTTCTTCGTTTGAAGTTCTCAACTTTGCCGTGCGGACTCGTCCGTCCGGGCCATAGCTTACTTGCTCGACTATAGCCTTAGGCCATAGACCTCTATTCATTTCGACGTTACTAACGAGGACTAAGTCATCCGGTTGTAAGTTCTTGTGTACGTCCAACCATTTGTCTCTTGCTTGGAGAGTCGGTAAATATTCTTTTATCCATCTACTCCAAAATGCGGTGGTTAGTCTTTGAACTTCTTTCCATCTTTTGTTGTATAATAACGTCTTATCCACCGAAGCATCGTCGAATGATAACTTTTTATGAATCAACAACTTGTTCGGAGTAAGTGCTTCTAGGGTACCAGGGTCATCTGTCATCATAACCAGAGGTCTGTCATTCAGTATCCGTTCCGCCTCAGTTAAGAAGGTTTGCAGTTTCATCGGTCAACACGTTTTGGAACAAAAGCACTCCTAAGATTCTTCTAATTGATCTTATGATGCGTTCCCACACACCACCTCGATGACTTGCCCTAGGTGGGTTGAAACGCCACTCATATTCTCGTTCTTTATGATGGTTTATATTTTATTAGTATTCCAGGAACGTATAATCTGTCTCAAACTGGCATCTGCACCTCGGAAGTTTGTGCGGTTATCGCTAAAAATACGCTTTGGACATCCTCTTCTGGCAATAAATCTTGATAATGCGCACAGAAATGAATCCGTATCTAGAGAGTAGACCATTTCGATGTGAACGGCTCTAATAGATAAGCAGGTGAATAAACAGCCATAACGTTTCTCGACAACTCTACCGCGTTTGGCATAGAACGGTCCGAAGTAATCCACACCTACTTGACTAAAGGGTGGCGAGTGAGTCTCTACTCGGTATTCCGGTAACGGTGCCATTAATTGGGAACATGGTTTAGGGTAAAGTCTTCTACATAAATAGCATCGTTTTAGAACCTTCCGAACAGTAGAATATCCTCTAATAATCCAATACTCCTCACGAATACTACTCAGAGTTTGAGTAACTCCAACATGTGCGTTAATCACATGATAACGCATTATAATCATATCTGTAACAAAAGGATTATTAGGAAGAATAATCGGATATTTGGTTTCAAATGGTAAACATGATAACTGCAAACATCCTCCCACGCGGATTTTGCCTTCAAGCATCAAAGAGTTGAGATTTCTTATAGAACTTTGACGAATTAATTTTTTTCTCCTGTTCACCTCGTCCATTGCTTCTTGACCTTTTTGCTGTCTAAAAGCGTTTTCTCCGAGCGTCAACGGTGAGCTGTTTAGAATTCTTTTTTCGGCCAGGTACGCGATACTTTGGACTAGTTTAATTATGTCACTCTTCGTACAAGGTCAAAAGGAGTTAATGTGGTGGTGGGCGTTTCCCTTTGTTATTGGTGGGTTCGTTTATCGATCACATTTTACACTCGTAATGAATCAATATGAGAACTAGTAAGGACATTTTGGAGTCCATGTCATACCTAGTTGCTTCTTCCACATGATGCAATGGACACCTGTGATAACCGTACCAACTAGTTTCTGTTGGAAAAAACTTTCTTACAGTTCAGTCCACAGATTTCTCCAGTTTACTGTGGGTGCATTAGGATTTCCTAAGATTAAACATCGACCACTTGTTGACCAAGTGTTGAAACGTCTAGCAAGACCTAATTCGTCGCACAGTTTGGACTGCGGTTGACCAAGTCAATCACAGCTCTTGTAATTTGCATTTTGAGCAGCAGATAACTATACGCATGTAACACTTTCTTGGGATATGTTATCAATAGCAGTAAGTGTGGTAGTATTTCTAATGAATAGAGATACTCCCATTTTACTTCCCTGGATGCTGCCAGTTCTTACTAATGTGAGACTTTCAAAATCAATTTCCCTACTGTTTTCAGACTGCGTCGGTCATGTTTCTGTAACTGCAGTCACATCCGCCATGGCAAATTCTATCTGTACATCTAGCTACCATCGCTTGTTGAGAAAGCTCCAATCGCCCGAAAATCACTTAAATAGCTCTTTGCTGTTTTCGTAGGAGTTTCAGCACCATTCAGCGTCGAATACTCAGCACCGGAAAATCTAAAATTCTAAGGCTCTTCTCACCAACATCTAACCGTAGTTTAGGTTTCTTTGCGACTTCTCGAAGTTTAAAATAGTTCACAAAAAGAAAGTTTCACAGACGGAATCTCATAACCCTTCTAGTTGATGTCTATTCTGTTGTATTGGGCCCCTTTCATTGGGAGATTTAAACAATATTTGAGCAGCCTGTTTTGAGTTTGTTTCAAGTCCATTTGACTACCTGGCTCATAAACGTTCACCAATGTGAATCTGCCTGTGACGCAAGCCGATTTAGTAACGGTTTTATCAACGCTATTTCACACGCAAAACGAGTTCTAGGTTCTGAGGTTTCACTCTCTTTGGCTCTGTGAAAGACCAATGACCTGTCACCACGATCAATCTCCAATTTCTCAGTTATCACTTTGAGTATTGGCTTTTCTTTAGCCGGTGCACTGGAAAGAAGGATATCTCATCAAGATACCACAGAAAGGAGATCTAAAATAACGTGAGGACTACACAGGCATCAAATTACCATCGGCAACGGGAAACGTTTTCAACAGAGTGTTGCTGAACCAGATGAAAGATTCAGTAGACGCCAAACTTCCAGATCAGCAGGCTGGATTCCGTAAGGATCGGTCGTGAAAAGACCAAATAGCGACACTATGGATTATCGTTGACTAATCAATTGTACACTAACTTCCTTGTCTGTGGGAAGACGTTTGACAATGTGAATAGGAGGACCTTACGGGACCTCCTTCCACACTACAGTGTACCTGAGAAGATCGTCAATATCATCTGGAACTCACACGACTGACTACACTGAAAGGTCGTGCATGGAGGTCAGCTGCCGGATGCATTCCAAGTGAGGACCGGTGTCAGACAAGGCTACCTACTGTCACTCTTTATATGTCTTCTCGTGGTTGACTGAATTACGAAGACCTCCACATCTGAGGGGCAGTACGCAATACAATGGACAGTTTGAATACGACTAGACAATTTGGACTTCACAGATAACCTAGCTCATCTATCCGATCCATACCAACAAATGCTGATGAAGATAGCCAGCGTAACAGAAGCCTGTGCATCAGTAGTCCTCAACATACACAAGTGATAAACCAAGATTCTGAAATGCAGCACGGAGAACATCAACGCAATCGCACTTGATGGAGAAGCTCTGAAAGATGTGGAAACTTCCACATACGTGGACAGCATCATCGACGAATAAGAAGGTTCTTATGCAAAGGCAAAGGTAAGGATTGACAAGATAAGGATAGCATTCCTATAGTTGAATTACATATGGAACTCAAAACAACTGTCAACTAACATCAAAGTCAGAATCTTCAATACGAATGTCAAGGCAGTTAGTTATGTTGTACGGAGCTGAAACTTGAAGAACTACTGCAATCATCGATATCAAAGTAAATACGAGTAAAAACGGTCTGAAAGTACTAAAAATGTTCTTTATCAACAGGCATAGTCGCTAACTGTCGTAACACTTCGAAAGGTTAAATGTGAAAAGTTACAAGATTAAATCGTTAGAATGAACACTACTTCTCGAACGATCCAAAGAATACTCATGAAAGCATTGCATACGTGTATCATCAGGGCTCTGTATCAAGTATATTGTTGTTTACCATCCTCACGAAACTAAATCTTAAAAATCTCTTGTTATTCATTATGCTGGTGTCAGCTTTGTAATAGAGTTATAATAAACATAATTCACATGATCCACATGGCAAATTTCGAGGTCCAAATCAGACAATTGTAAATAGGTATAAAACCCCTGTTTTATAGGACAAACTCAGAGACTTTTCAAAGGGAAAAGGCGACGTGAACATAAACAATTTAGGATCTAGATACCTAATTATACTAAGAGTATATCCAGAAGTCAAAATTATTTATTTATCCTTATCTTACACTGAGTGGTTTAATTGACTAAGAAATGATTTTGAACCATATTTATCCTTTATTTCATCTTTTTTTGAGTTGAGGGAACCCAGAGGACATATTCAGTGGTTTTATATTATAATAAGACACATGATCTTCATGACACACCTTTCCTAACACGAGATTAGTTCTCAATGACTACCACATGAAGAAATGCAGTATGCACATACTACTGATTCATCTATGAAATATAACAAACGAGAATACCATTGAGGAAATTAGACAAACTCTCATCATTGTCACCAAGGGACAAATTCAAAGCCCGAATTATTGGATAATGAATCGCCTGCTTAGGTCACAAATAGGAAGCGGGTTAATTGACATCTGCCAACCATAGCTTTTGTCGCTTACAATGCTCCTGGTATGTATATAGATTTTCGACATTTCCACAGGAGCCGTCCTTATATTCTATTAATAGCATACTCATCTTAGATAGTGAAGGGAAGCGCATTTTAACGAAGGTAGCTCAGTTAGTATATCAAACAAACTTTAATTTTGTAGTATTATGACTCATCGTTTCCAACTGTTAAGCTTCAACTCGAATTCGAGTCGAAACTCTTCAAAAAAACAAGCAAAACTAATGGCGGTAAATTTTCGTTGATTTTTTATGTATTTTCATTTTAGTGGGTCTGTGACAGGTTCAACTGCGGATCTAAACCATCTCCTTTACAATTTTTTATTGTTAGTGGTCCATTACGTTTCACACTTATCAAGATAAAAGTAAACAAAAATGATGTTAGTTAGTCGTGCTAGTAGTCAGAACCCAAAATCAATGGGAATAGCACGTACCGTCTCCGTAGTTCGCTCTTAGCAGTTACAAGTATAAAAGTCTAAGGAATCTAAAGCAATTCTCGTAATTCGTATTACTGCAAAGATCTAATCTCATTTTGGAAGTTCCAACATAGTAACCAAATTATCGTGTTTTAGTAGGCATGTCGGCAGTCTGAAACTGCAGATGGCAAGGATCTGGATATAAAGCAGTTGATTTCGGTTTTTGAACAAGTTTTGAGGTGGTCAGTCCGAAATATCCTCTATACTTCTCAGCATTCTAGTGTTTGTATACTAATATGAATTAAAGCTGTAACCAGCAACCCTCAAGATTCCTAAGAATCAGATACAACTCAATGACTCTCGGGTGTACTCGACTCAAACTTATCTAGTGATTACTGTTACTGACTACATTTTTATGTACACTGAAGAAATTCAGTGTTACAAAATAGCGTTAAGCACTTTTATTTAAAAATTCCAATACCATGAAGTACTAGTTCAAACATTGTTTCCGAGTTACCTGATTCTTAGTATCTGAACATGAAATGTTCCAAAGTTTGTCGCATCCTTTTTTTATAGTCCTACTTTTTTCTGCCGTCGTGAAATGTTAAAGAAAAAATTTTTATCTTTTGATTAGAATAGAGTTTCCTATTTCAAAAATTGTTCACATAGAATAGATCCATTTTGTGCCTTCCAGAGTACCTACAATTAAATATCCACTTTCTCGTTTATGTACTCATTTTTGTGTACTTAAAACGATATGGTCAGCTCTCTGACTGAAACTCATCATACTAATGATCAAACGAAATTGCACTTTGTTTTTCGGATTACTATATATATGTATACATCAGTTATCATCAACGTAGAGTCTAAAACAGTTTTGCACTGCCCAAAGTTACTACACATCACCAGCACACCGTAATGAATTTAACAAGGTATATAGCAAAATAGACGGGAATAATGTAGTGGTAATTACAGTTAAAAAAGTAAGCCTATAGAAGACAGAGTGAAAAGGTATGCATTGAGATGCCGAAATGAGAGATTAAAAGATAAAGAGTGAACACATCTGTCCTTTTGAGCCGTGTCATCCAGCTTATAGCTGTTGATTACAATAAGCACATGGGCACAAACCAGGTAGCCCGTATCTGCCAATATGACACAAACCAAATGTCACAATTTCACAGAACCCCTAGCTTTCTTTCAACCTTCTCCTAAACCAGGAAACATCGCCTGTCGAGGTGAGCTGTGACTAGACATAATTAACATGTCCTCTCTCTCCATATATATATATATATATATATATATATATATATATATATATATATATATAATAAAGCCCATTGACTACCTTTACTTTCAGGATCAGACTTTTATGCTTAAAAGATGCGTTTGCACAATCGATCAAATATCATTTCTTCATCAGTCAGTCAGTAACAACGTAGAACTTCGTACGTACGTACATCAGTTCGAGTTGCCACACCACATTAGCACAGAGATGATCATTTCTTCATAATAACCTATGTTGATAAAATTCTTATGGCAGTACGAGGACATCAAAGTAATCGTTTTGAAATTGATTTATTATTTGTCAATCATATGGAAAAGTTCTTATCATCACCAAAGATTCTCATTGTCCTAATGTTTTACTCCAATCATAATTGTTTGTACGTCTTATTTTGGTCGGATCAGTATAAATGTATGTTGCTCTTTCAATTCTCTAGCGGAAATCACGTTGCTGGACGGCGCGACCTGTGTTTATCGTAACGTGGGCGATCTTTACTTTTATGTTGTTGGGGATGCTAACGAAAACGAAGTGAGTCACATAATGGATCTTTCATTTTGTAAGTTATTACTCGTCAGTGCCCTTCAGTGCTTGTACGATTCTGTCAGTCAAGCTCTGAAACGATCAGTCGAAAAGAAAACACTGATGGATAATCTAGATTTAATTTTCCTTATAGTTGATGAACTGTGTCATAATGGGTAAATAGTGGAATAAATTAATATATGCTTTAAAGCATACTTTTAGAGTCCGACGCAACCGCCTTAGTGTCTCGAGTTGGCGCAAGGACAGACGATATCCCACTTGGAGAGCAAACTGTAGCACAGGTAATTTTAGCTCCTTTTTGCTAGTATCTACGTTGAGTAGGTCAGTCTATGTTTAACATAATTTCGTTGTAGATGTACCTTTAAGTGCGGTTCCTTTAGTCACTACTTTTACATGATTTGGTCTCATATGATGAGGTAAAGTGGAAAAATAAGCCTTAATATACAAAAACCAACGATATGATATACTGTTAAACGCTAATGGTTTTTCATCTGTTGAAAAAGCCTGTTTTATTGCAGTGAAAGGTCACCAACATATTGACGGAAGGTTTCCAGTTTGGTTTTCTACTCATCTGTCAACTGTTACTGGTGTAGATTCACAACAAATGTTGCTTCTCTCATAAGCAGTGTGTTGAGTAAGTGTACCAGTTCTTGAGTTTAAAAATAGTTGTTTGAGAAACGTGTCTGCCGAAAGACTGCCACAAAGTTTGCTTTTAACCAGCTCAAGTCTATTCGCTAACTGGATCATAATCACTCATCTTTAACGTAAAGCCTAGCACAGATGTGTGTGGACCAAAGTTCCCATGTCACATCAGTACAAGCGTGAACGACAACCTTGCTGTGTTCATTTCATTAGATAATTTTTAGTCAATTGTTTTTAAAATCAAAATACATAAAATTCTTCTTTTTCACAACATACAGGCTATCCAAAATGCAAAAGAACAAATACGCATGTCTTTAATCAAGTAGTTCAGTGAAAAGGAAATAAATACTTATTTTCACTGTTTTTTGATGGGAACTATGGGTCGGTAATTGAGTAATAACTTTTGTATCTACTCCAACATTTGTCACATTACAGTTGTTCATATTTAGCAAGTCTTTTCGCACATACCCTGGTCGCTGCTGGTGAATTTTTACACTAAGCTAACTAACTCATCAAGCTTTATTTTTGTGTGTGCAATAGCAAACACTAGCTTACATCATATTTTGGCGTTCGTAAAGTACATTTCAAATCATTTCGTTGACAACTCATGGTAAATGATGAGCACTACAACATGGGGTGTTGTTAAGTCACAAAATCAAAAGTTCTTAGCTGGGTAGACCACTTAAGGCTTTTTAGTTAAGTATGGCCGTGCATATCCAGTTCTCGTTTGTTTTCAAATCTTCTCAGTGCATGTTTCATGGATAACTCCATTGACGCTCAGTCACTATCCGGAGTAGCGTCAAGCCTTAGAACACCGTCAGTCAGTCAGTCAGTAACAACGTAGAACTTCGTACGTACGTACATCAATTCGAGTTGCCACACCACATTAGCACACAGATGCAGTGGTCGATTCAAATCCTGTAGTGGTAGAGATAATAAGAGTATAAGCAGTAATCAGGAAAATTAGTGTTTGGAGATGTTATTTAAAGAGTATAATACAGTGAAATAAATTTGGAAAGAGAAAAAAGAAAGGGACATGAAGAATTCAGAAGATTAGAATTTGGGAGAACACAGAGAGTGGATGCACCTGCATCATTGCAAATGATTTTGAGCCATGTCATTCAGGGTCTCTAACCATCGGTTGCTATCATCTCGCGGTAGTCTACACCTACCAACATGACTCAGTCCACTTGTCAGTGACTTCATGGACTTGTGCGATGTTTTGGTCTGGCCGCCCCTAGCTTTCTTCCAACCTACTCCTATACCACTGAACATCGCACGTCGAGGCAGTCGGTCGTTGGGCATACGTAACACGTGTCCCAGCCATCTCAACTGATGAAGTTTCACTACGTCATCAATTGATTTGCCATCCTTACCTAGTACCCGTTTCCTGACAGCTGCATTACTTACTCGATAGTCCCAGGATATACGAGCAATATTTCGAAGACACCTATGATCGAATACTAGTAGCCTATGGATATCCTCTACTCTTACCGGCCATGTTTCACTGCCATAAAGTAGGACGGAACGAACTGCTGCGCAGTAAACCCGTCCTTTGGTTGATAGACGGATATCTCGCCTGCGCCATAAATGACGCAAGTTGGTAAAAGCTAGTCGAGTCTTCTGTATCCGTGCTGAGATTTCGTCACACGCCAGACCACAAGGGCTGATGAGACTTCCAAGATAAGTGAAGCGATCGACACGCTCAATTACTTCACTCCCTATAATTAGTTCTGGTGTCAATGCAACCCAATCCTGAAGCAACATTTTGCATTTCGAGGGGGAGAATCGCATCCCGAACATGCTTGCATTGTTGCTTAGAGTGGTCAGAAGACTCTGCATTTTGTCAGCGTCTTCACCAAATAGAACTATGTCACCAGCATATTCTAAGTCAACAAGTGAACCTCCCGGTAGAAGTTCAACCCCTGGAAATTTAGATGAGGAAAGTGTTATCTCTAAAAGTACGTCGACGACAAAGTTGAACAAGAATGGAGAGAGTGGGCAGCCCTGACGAACACCACTTGAGGTAATCAATTCTGACGACAGTTCGCCATAAGCTCTCACTCGACCAGTTGTGTTCGAGTAGAGAGCCTTTACAAGGTTAATGTACATCTTTGGTACTCCTTTCAATGACAAATACTGCCATAAAACCTCACGATCAACGGAGTCAAATGCCGCCTTAATGTCGAGAAATACTACGATTGAGGGGCGTATGAACCTGTGTCTGTGTTCTAAATAACCATAGTCCCTACTGTGTTTCGGGATTAGGCTGTCATTCAGTTCTCTACTGGAAGATGAAGTTAGAAACTATTAATCCACTAGTCCTTTTCGATATCCGGATAAAGTGAAACATTCTTTTTGATATCTTACCCCTACAAATGTAATCCGAACGACAGGATATCCAAACAGTCTTGCTTGACTACAACTCTTATCGGTTTGTAGTTACTGACCATTAATAGCCATTCTGAAAACTTGATTATACTTTGGAAATCTGTCAACATTTTTCACACAATGAAAACTGAAGACGAAATTCCCTAGTATACAATAATTGGAATGAAACAAGATTACTGGCGTATGCATCATTTAACTACGGAACGTTAAACTCGGTCGGATATATATTCTTTCTAACGAAGTATTTTTGTCTATGTGTTACGCATATCAAAAGTACTTACGCCTGTCACCCCTTGTGGAGGAGCATAGGCCGTCCACCAACATTCTCGACCGAACTTTGTCCTGGGCAACCCTTTCCAGTTGCTATGCATTTTTTGATGTCTGCTTCCAACTCCCGACGCAATATGTTCTTTAGCTTTCCTCTTTCCCTTATCTCTTCAGGATTCTAAGTTGGCGCTTGCGTCGTGATACAAGCGCAACGATTTATTTAGGCACATGGGATGTCCACATCAAAAGTAAATGATTTCAAAACTTCAGCACTAGTGTAATCCACATAATCTTATTGATTTATAAACACGTTAAGTTACGTCGGGGATAACGAGTGCACTTCAGAGGTGAAAAAAGACTCATTCAAAACGAACATATTTATCAAGTTCACACACAAAAAACAACGAAATGATATTTTATTGCTGACTAGAGGTAACACGCAATAAATGGATATTTCTGAACGAATTACTAGGTGTAGTTAGAACATCGGCCTTGAGACCATATTTCTTAAACAAAACTGAGAGGTCTGTAAAAGAACTGCTATACATAAGCTTTTTTAAATGAGGTTACCTCCGATTTTCGAAAGAAAGAAGTAAAGACGCATTGTTGTTTACTCTTAGTTGTAAAGTTGCAGTCTTCAAAAACGGTTCATATACTAAAAATGAGACTAGAATGATGGACTCACCTTCCTTATCATACAAACAATCAGATGCTAAAATGGTATCGAAGATCCCACCTGACCAGTCGAGGGGATAGTTCCAATCTAATGGAGTAAAATCATAATTTTTGATTCCATTCAGCTGAGCATTAAGATGTAGTTTATCCGAATATGTCGTGTCTTTATCAGTGAATCGAACATGAAGAGCCCCGAGAATAGCTGCAGTAATTCCACAAAGTCCTGTGCCAGCACCGAGCTATAATATATCAGTGTTATTGAACAAAACCTAACTTCGAGAACTCGAAGCCCTCTGACTACCTCAGGATACTTCACCAGAAAATCAGACAAGGCTTCTGCACACTTCCAGGTATAGTGACCATAACCCAGGGAAGAGTTCACTAAAATAAATTGCGTTAATATAATCGTACCTGATGTATATATTTGTACTTTGATCCCTTGAAATTGAAATATCTGTCTCTTAGTATCGACCTATATACATGTAAATATTAAAATAAAAATTTTAGTTCTGTGAAGCAATCCTGTTCTTAAATACATTGATGGGTTACATATTTAGTATAACGGTTTCATTTTTGTGTAGATTGCTCTTTGTAAAGGTTATAAAAGGTGGGTATTTTAGTTTCTATGATTTTATTACAAAAACGACGTCAAATACAAAATATGTGTATCACGGTTCTGATGCTTAAGCATATGATTATTATTTTTAACGAAATCAGTCATTTTTATCGTGATTGCTTGGAGCACTCGTTGATATATTCTGTTCACTCATTGTCTTTGAAGTATTTTTCTTAGTTAAGATGCGGTTTATTAGATGTGTTATTATTGAGTCGCTGGCATTTTTTTGAAGAGTAACGTTGAAAACAGTAGTCGTAGCCTTGTGAACGGATCCAAACACAACAGCAACGACTGAACAAACCAAACACAAAACATTAAATGGCATACTGAAATCTGGTGTTGGCATTGTGACCAGAGATACAGGAGTGTGTAGACGAACAAAACCATCCTGAGGTGCAGAATGAGTTGTATTGCTAGTAGAAAGAAGAAAGCAAACAATGATATATTTTAAAATATAGTTTTAACATGTCAATGGCGTACTTGTATAATACTATTGAATTGGTGTCCGGGCCGGGTTAGTCTGACCTCTGCATTACAAGGTCCTATCACTCACTTCATCCACACTTTTCCTGTTATACAACTTGATAGAACATCTCCATCGTCTTGATTCTTATGATTATTCCAAATAACCTAGTGCTTTTTTATTAGCTTGTATTATTGCTGAGTTTCCTAAGTGAAAACTGTGAAACTAAATGAACATTTTGGGTTGGCCAAGTAACATCCATTCCCGATATGACATTTAACTAATTTGGTGCATCGCCTACAGAATAATTTTTGAAATATCTGGACAAAGCAAGACCACGCAAATACTAACGGTCGCATGATATAGACAGGTTGTAAGTGGATCATTCACTAGATAAAGGTTACTCCTCACATGTATCTGACTGTGCCGCCTATAGATACAATTTGTAAGGATTATTATTCGGCCTCTGGGGGATGCGGTCTTTTACGTTATCTTCTTATACTTCTCAGTTTGGTCGGTCAAGCACTAGTGGTTCAATCGGCTAGCAGATAATAATAGTCAATTATTTTTCATGAATAGATTAGCTATAACACAGGTCTATCATAACAAAAATAAGATGGAGCGTAGTGTTCTTAAATAAACTTATGGCCAAAACTAGATAATGAAATACAAAGGCTATATTATTATCTTTAATCTACAGCTGATCGAAGTAAGTGCCATTCATAAAATCCTATTTTTGGATGGAAACAGTTTTTACTTAAAATGGTAAGATTCAGTAAAGATTCCATAATCATTACTTCTTCCATGGTGGTGAAACGCGGGACTTTTAATCAACATTAGGTATTTTATTAAACTCCAAACAAGGAGTGAAGTTGACAGTTCTATCGTCCACAGGTCATAGAAATTCATCAGTAATCTGATTACTTCCATAGATTATATCGGGAGAAGTTTGCGATCAGCATAAAACTGATCACTGGAAATCGAATGCTAACGTATTCATCTACAGACTGGTCGAATTTCATAGATACTTTAGTACGTGAGTATGGAGAATTGTAATTTCACCAAAGTGAACACTTCCGGTTAGGATTTATCGTAACTTGTAGCAGGTGAACAGAGAAATCCATGTTCGATAACTACTGGGGGTAATGTTGGACTTATTCCTTAAAACTACCTAGTTTACGCTTTCTTAGCCATGAAATTGGTGGGAAATAGATCTTATCTACTTGAGCACACTGAACATAAAAACAGAATGAGTTATCTTGGGATATTAAAAGCACAAGTTAGGGGATCTATGAATTGGCAAGTAACTTACAAAAACTGATTGTAACTACTGGCCCAATTCGGGAGATTCAAATTGTGGAATGCTGTATGTTTTGTTTTGTTTAAATAATATATTTGTTCGCTGTTTAAAACATACGAAACAGTTGCTGCAGGAACGAAAAAGCCATGATTGGCGTCAGGAGGAAATTCATTCCAGCGTTGTAAAACTTTCCGAAACTCATAAGTAATGATTAGCTGATTAAGAGCAGGCAAAGTGATTACTAATTCAATACTGCCCATACGTTTCCTAGCCAAGCTTGGTTTAACTGCCAACCAGTCTATCAAAATAAACGTATTTCATTCAAACACTGAAATGATTTAAGAAAGACTGGTGGATAAATATGAATATTAACAAAGTATAAAACTGCATACGACTACAAAAATCTCATTCGATCTAGTACAGTGAAAGAATAAGAAATAATTTAAGTGCTAGATATAGATAAAACGTTCATACAATGCATGAAATGAAAAACTATTGCACAAATAATTCAGATTGTGAAATTATGCTTGTGACTTAGCTACCATTTTCAGACATTTAGACAAACCCTGGTTTAAAGGGGCACGAAATACATATGCGCCACACAATAACAATTAGGTAGTGAAGAGATGAAGTGAGTATAAGAGAAAGTAAAGCAACAATGTGAAGAAATTAGTATACGAGAGCGAGATAAAAATATTAACAATAGTGGGAGTCAGTTAAGTTGGGAAGAATACAACCAGGAAGAATTCTTTCAGCCAAAGAAGTTACTCACACTTTTATGAAGTTAAATAAAGTTTCGGCATAATCGTCACTGGCTTATACTGAATTATGTCTGATAACGTCTCAAGCCACTATGTATCATCACTAGGACACCGACCAGGGAATCGTGGAGGTCCGACAGAAGCCTGCCTTGTACAGCTTTCCTTTCATACCACGACACACACTGACTGCCTCTCCGCCTTTTTCAACCAGTTCCAGCGTCGACAAATAATTCGCGACGTGGAATTCTCTGAGAAGACATTCGTAGGATATGTCCACGACACTGAGGTCGATGTTTCAAGATAGCGACACTAATTGGATTACCGTCACTGTGCCCGAACACGATGCCGGACCTCTACATTATTAACACAGTGTCGCCATTGGACGTCAGCAATCCTTCGAAGACAACGATGACTAAACACAGAGTAGTCTAACATCTTCAACTCGGAGGCCGAGTTTCACAGGCATAGATAAAAACTGCTCTCATTGATGCATTGTAGATCCGACCATTTGCAGCCAGACTAACATCACAGAGGCGCAAAATATGGATCACATTGGCATAAGCCACTCTGCTTTTCATAATGTACGGATCGACTTCAACATACGCCACCACCAGCACTTACACAGTTACCCAGATACACAAACTTCTCGACTACGTCTACCTACTCACTGTCCAGTGTTAGTTCAAAGCTCTATCAGTCCTGTAGAAGTACTTTGCGCTTGGAAGGTGCAGAAGAAATGCCGTACTTGCGGACAGTGACTGTCAACTGACTCGGTGCGGATTACATGGCTTGGGTATCAACATACAGTACGACAATATCATCCGTATATTCAAGTTCGAGAAGTCCTTCTCCAAGCAGCAGATCTACAACACTATTACTTACATTCGCCAGAGATTTTTTTAGATAATCATCGATGGCAAAGTTGAGGAGGAATGGTAAGATCGGGCAACGCTGCCTAACCCCACTGCTTGAATGAAAACAATGAAGACAAATGGTTGCGTGCCCTCATTCTGCCTGAGGCGTTTGTATATAAGGCTTTCAAGATGTTAATAAACTTCTCAGACATACTCTATTTCAATAGTTAACCCCACAGAACAGTCCTGTCCAGCGAGTCGAGAGCGGCCTTAATGATAAGATATGATCAATACATCCTCGATCAGAACAAAAACCAGCCTGTTCCTCACAAGTCAATCTTTCTTGGATTTTGAACAATTACACGAAATATGACGGAAGCCAATAGTTTGGACGCGATCGGAAGTAGACAGTTGTTGCATAAACGATGTGTACCTTTTTTGAGATAGGGAAAACTATCAACTCATTCCACGATGTCGAAACACTCTCTGATTGCCAGACACATATAAACAACCCAGCCAGTTCATTAACCGGCATCATCAGAAGGGTCGGAGGTAAGTCATCTGAGCCCGGTGATTTGTGGAGCTTCAAGAGTTGAGGTTCCTTGGGAATTTCCACCTCGTCAAGTGGATCAGTCGTCATCGGCCATGAAGGGCAGGAAGTCTGATTGATGTCGTCAGGGCAACAGACCAGTTGAACTGCTCCTCGAAAAACTGCTAATCATCCAAGACGTCGTAGATGATATTGATTGGCATCACATCAGCTTAACAGATAGTTTCACTCACACCAGACTCCTTGCTGCTAGTGACTCGGATGAGTTCAAAGAGCTTGCGGCAGTTACCAATTCTCAAGGTGAATCCTCCATACACACCAACCCGGTTAAAGCACTAGACATTCGCGTTTCATCCTCCCTATTTCGCAAATAATATTCTCACCGCGAGAGGGCACTGAGTAGGACTTCTCTGAGTGGCTGTATACGCGAGGCTTTGTGAGGATATTTCGAGAGGGGGATCGGACTTTCCTCACTTTCGGTCTTACTGCGGCATTTTTTAAAACAACTTCCCATTATTAAGAATTAATTGGATATATAACATGATTACTGAAAAGCAAATCAATTCAGATCGACTTACTTGGAGTAATCACTGTTTTGTTTTGTGTTTTGGGATCCAAACCGTAGATTTTTAAGGAACTGAAAAAAACTTGTGTGTACCACGGAATTAAATCAAAATAAACTATCTTTAAGTTGAAGTCAGCTCTACTAGTCAGGAAAACTTTGACTCCACCCCTTACACTTCCAGAACCAGTGATATGTTTGGTAGCTGAAACAAGAGGTGAATGCTCTGTAGAGGACTTTTTTCCACTAGTTTTGAAAGGAAAAGATATGAATTGTGTAGATAGATCTTTTGTCGAATACGCAGCTAGAACACGATTATCCAAACAGTCGACTTTCAGTTTATTATCTAAAGGGATATTCATATCTTCATATGAAGCAAGGATGAACACGCGACTAGTGTTTGCTGCATCGCAAAATCCTTTGAATTCCGAACCAAGGATACTTCTGATAGACCAAGGAGCTGAGAATATATACATCCAAATTAAATAATACATATGAATGAGATAAACACTAAAAGATTTGGCCAAATGAAGTTCATATTAAATAAAGTTTTATAATGTGAGCTAATTGACAAGTTGCTAGTCTCTTATTGGTAATATTAATGTACAACTAGAGAACAATAGAGATAAGTCCTATCGAACTAATTTTTAACTACTAGCCACTAAACCGAAATACTATATCACATCAACAACCTACGTGATTTAGGCTATTTCTTTTGTTATTCTTCTGTTCATGTCACTTAAGTGTGAACCAACTGATATATACATTTGTACTTACTAAAAGGGTATAAAAAGTAAATAACAATTTAAATATTTCCGAATGACAAAGTTACAGAATATGAAGAGGAATGTTTATTCGTGTTCATGAAATTCCAATAAAATGAACAGATTGATATATTATCTAAAAAGTTAAATGTAATCCATAAGTAAAGCAATATGAATGGTTTGATCTCATTAGTTGAATTACATGTTGCATGAAAAGAAAAAAAACAAGCAATACAATAACAAGAAACCAAGCGAAATTTGAGGTGCAAAATGAATAACGCTGTGAATGGTTATTAGGAAAAGATGTTACGGAAGGTTGTAGGGTCATGAGATAAAAACTAATCTCAACTCGATATCACAACTTACAAAATTCTAACCTATAATAAGGCATTGACGTACAGGTAACAAAACACAAGTGAAAGGCCTTGCTGTAAACAAAAACATGTATTACTTTGACTCTGAGATACTTTGTTAGATAGAGAACACTCTCGAAATTAACAAAACACTTCGTTCGTTTCGTTTGAAAAAATCTGTAAATCGTAAGGTATTATGGATAGTGGATAGCTAGACACGAAATGAAAACACAGGAGGTTGTATATCACTAGTTAACATATACAGTGTAGTGATTTTAAATTCCACTTACACGTTCTTTTCGCAAACAACAAACTTCTGTCAAAGACAACCGTCAGGGTTTCCATCAGCTCTAACCCGATTTCGTGACATTCTAAATCCTGAGTAGTAATGATATATTACAAATAAGGCTTACCAAACACACTCGTCTAACTCCAATAGTCATGGTGTTGTAATTTGACTTAAACAGTGAAGTTGAACGCAACAAGCTTCCCAAACCGGAAAATGATTTACATGGTAAGTACTTGGTCCATGGAGTCAAATTCTCACTGCACAAAGCCTCACCAGGTAGCTGAGAATATCTGACCTCCTTAGAAACTCTACTGAATTTCGGTACTCCAGATGGCTTGTAAGAGTGGATCGGAGAAGCAAAATGTTCATTTGTAGATAGTCGGTTTAAAGAAGCACAGAATAATCCCGAAAGAGCATGTGTTAATTTAAACCATGATTGATCAACACTAAACGTTGAACTAAGTATAAGGATTACCTGGTAGTTTGACTTCCAAACCATGCCCATAGTTCAGCTCCAGAAGGGGAAACTGAAATAAAGTTACTACCCCAACGTTCATCCCATATCCCTCTTGAGATAGAAAGGTGGAATTCATCCACATCATATTTTTTTAGGATTTGAATGATGGGTTTCGGAAGAATGTTATAGTGCTTTGCTAAATCAAAATTCGTCTAAGCATTGATAGAACTTACAATGGAAAACAGACTCTGAAGTTGTAGCGGCAAAATTGAAATGGAATGCTGTATATCCATGACCAAGATCTTTGATGAGAAGTTCTTCATTAAAATTCTCACAATAAACCGAAGCGTAAAATATTAGGAATGCAATCAGTCGAAAACCGAGCATAGGGTGTACTTTTCATATATCAAGTAGTGTTTATAAGATTACAAAAATAACACTAACTAAAACATAATGAGATATTTCGAGACTTGTTAGGAATCTGTGTAACTAAAATTACGAGGACTGTCTGAAAACAGACGAAAAGTTAGTTTAGAATTTTGTGTTACTACAAAAATGTTTTTATCACATTTCTGAAAACATTAGATGAACAAGTTATGTAAAAAAAGACGAACTATTTAAGAAATCCCTGTATATAAAAGATTAACTATCATCAAGATAGTTATGCCGTCAACTCAGAACTGAAAACAAAATAAGTACATTATGAAATTGAGGTGCTAAACATATTATCATATACTTAATTGCAAGCTACAACTCGCGAATATATCATATCCTACAAATTCATATAGGTACACGTTTTCAGGGATAAAAACAGTTTGTTTGGTTTATGCCAATCATTCGGTGTGCATAAGGCTGTTTGCAGTTTTACTGTTCATGAACGGTGTCTGAATCCACTAAAGTGCCATAGAAGCAATTTCAAAAATCACATAGTTTGCAAGAAATGAAAATAATAGTTTTTAATTTATACGGTAAATAATTATGTAGACGAGAACTAGTCAGAAAAAATACTTTATGCAGTCTTAGATATAAGTGGGTTGTGAAGGACCGACAACATTACTGACCTTGATGACCTAGATGTACTCCTAAAATTTGAATAACGTAAGATCCTAAGACCAACACTAAATGGTTCAAATGGTTCAAATGGTTGTGGACGGAATAGAAGAAGCTTTCGCTTAACAGGCTTCCGTGTTTAGTAGCAGGGGATCACCAAATCCTCCAGGCAGGAACCTAGGTATGTTAACAATAAAAAAGGAAAAGAAATTGGTAAATCATAATGTGATGCTGTCCTTGGTCCTGAAGAATAGGTCAAGTTGCCTCTTGAAGGACTCCTGAGAAGTCTCTTGGACTAGCTCGGCCGGCAGCGAATTCCAGCTTTTGACAACTCTTAAGGAGTAGAAGTTGTGTCTACATTCCGTCTTGCTATGTTGTGTTTCCAGTTTCTGGGTGTTACCCCTTAGGTTATTATTCGAACTAAGCTTAAGTAGGTGTTTAAGAGGATGTCCAGAAGTGTTATGAATACTATAAGCCATTAGTAAATCACCTCTAAGACGCCTATATTCTAGTGGGTAAAGGTCTAGTGAACGGAGGCGTTCTTCGTAAGGCTTAGATTTGAGTCCTCGAATTGATTTCGTGGCTCCCCGTTGGACACGCTCCAAAGTGACCTTGTCATTTTGGAGTGAGGGGGGGAGTACTATGTTTCCGTACTCTAAATGGGGACGGATGAAACTATTGAAGATTGTATGGAAAGTTCGTCCGTCAAACTGTCCAAAAATGCGCTTCAACGTTACCACTGCAAGGTTTGCTCGAAAGGCATTTTTGTCACAGTTAGCGTAAGACTTTAAGTCATGGGGCACCAGGACTCCTAAATCTTTTTCGACTTGGGATACTACTAGAGAGGAATTTCCTAAGTTGTAACTGTAGTTTGCGACATGTCGCAGATGGACTACTTTACACTTTGAAGTGTTAAAGGTAAGTCTGTTATCGTCTGCCCAACTTTGAAGTCGCGTCAGATCCTCCTGAAGTGCCTGTGTATCGTCTTGGTTGCGTATCTCTCTCCAAAGTTTCACGTCGTCGGCAAAAAGTAATACGTCTGACGTTACCTGTTGAGGAAGATCATTTATGTAGATCAAGAAGAGAAGAGGCCCTAGTACTGAGCCCTGGGGGACCCCACTAGGACATTCCATAGCCTGAGATAAAGTGAAATTAACCCTAACCTTAAAGTGTCGATTTTTTAGGTATGAAGTAAGCCAATCGATTATAGGTGGTTTGATACCTAGTCGTTTGAGCCTGTTGATAAGACACAAGTGGTTAACCTTATCAAAAGCTTTTGAGAAATCAAGGTAAATGACGTCAACCTTTCCCTTGCAATCGAGGATGCTTGTCCATTTGTCGACCGCAGTCAGCAGGTTGGTTATACAAGAGTAACCCTTCCTGAAACCATGCTGTTGGGGTGAGAAGAAATTTAAGGACAGTAGATAGTCATTTAAACCGTCGCATATCAGGGACTCCATGAGTTTTGAAGGTAATGACAGAAGAGCCACCGGCCGATAACTTGAAGGTTCATTGCGTCGACCACCTTTGAAAATTGGTGTGATGTGAGCCAGCTTCCAGTTTTCCGGTAATTTGCCTCGGCTAAGCGAGTGTGAAAACATCACGCTAAGCGGCGTTGCCAGGATTGAGGCTGCCTCCCTCAATATGGCAGGATGAACCATGTCCGGGCCAGGAGAAGTGTCAAGTCTTAAGTGCTGCAATTTCCGGAACACCAAGTCAGCGCTTAGGTCCACTTCAGAAAGTCCTGTGGAGTTGGAGATGAAACTGTCGTCAATAAAGTTGATGTCAGCCGGTTGAAATGTTTGAGAGTAATGTGCCGCCAGAAGGTTAGCGGAGTCGCCATCGTTGTTGGTCGGGCCGTTAAGACCTAGCAGTTGAGAAACTCCTGTTTTGGCTTGACGAAGAGAGGCTGCATAACGGGATAGGCTTCTAGGGTTAGAGGCGAATTTGTCCATAAGCTTTGTTTGGTACTGAAGCCTGTCTTCTCTTATAGCCTTCGTGCATGTGTTCCTGATATGTTTGTATTGCCTATACGCTCCATCGTTATTAGTTCGTTTGTATTCCGCCCAACAGTGTCGTTTGCGGCTTAGGAGGCGAAGGGTACGGTTCTTGATTACTGTAGGTGGCTTGAAGCTTTTGGGAACCGTTTGAGGAACTGAATGGTCTGTAGCACATAAGAGCGTGTGCAGTAAGAAGTCCCAATGACCATCCACATCGATTTGAGGGTGAACATCCCAAACCACCTGCTGTAGATAGTCATGTAGAGCTGGCACATTCAGCCGTTTAAAATTCCAACGCAAATTATTGTTGGGATACCTTAGCTTAGTTTTGATTACAAAACTGAAGGCTATGACGGCATGATCGCTTTTTCCCAGAGAAGCCAGGATTGAGAGGTTGTCGACTAGGAATTCTTCGTTAGTGAATACACAGTCTAAGCGCGATGGTGTCTGACTGTTTCTCCAACGAGTTGCCGACCTCACATTTTCATATAAGCCCAAGTTATCGATGAGGTTGAAGAACCGAGCTTCAGTTGAGTTGTCGCCTCCAGTGTAGGTGTGTTCCGCGAAGTTGACTCTAGGGAGATTAAAGTCCCCTAGAATCAGGATGTGTGTGAAACCGAGACGGATAGAGCGGGATAGTCCTTCCAGCATACGACTATCGTACTCGGTGTCGGCAGTTGGCTTCCTGTAAATGACTCCGACTAGACACCTGGAAGTACTAGACAATCTTACAGAGCACCATATAGATTCCTCAAGATTGTTAAACTCGAGGTTGTGAACCTGGTGCACCTCCAAGCAAGAGCTTATGTATATGGCTACTCCGCCCCCAATTCCTGTTTTTCTGTCGTTGCGGAACAAAGTCATCCCAGGCAATGCTAACTCTTGGTCCGAGAACTGAGAAGATATCCAGGTTTCAGATATTCCTATCAGATGGGCCTAATTAGCTTTGCTAAGTTCACTTAGTTCATCCAGTTTGTTTGGTAGACTCGCGGCGTTCATATATAAGCAGTTTATGCTTTCAATTTGGAACGCGTGAGCTTCGTCCTGTTTTTCTGTATGAACCTTATGTGAATGGACAGGTAGCCCACCTATGTGAGGTTTGCCGAGGTGGTAGGCCCTGTCCTTTACACGTTTTTTTATCGTTTAGACAGTCCACAAGTGGAATGGTCAGCTCCAACTTGCCTTTGTTCTTGGTCCTAACTTCGTATGGCTTATCCGGGTGCATGTGGATTCCAGGTGGCAATCGACGTCTATTAGCACGAAATGCTTCCAGAACTGCAGCCGCCATGTGGGAAGATGGGAAGGTTATCTTCATTAGACGGGGTCTAAGATCACCGTCCTTCTTGGCTAGTCTCGTCACATGCTGAGTCAGTATGTATTTGAGCCTCAAGGACTGTTTGATGAATTTCCATTCCCTGATGTCAGAATTTGATTGAGTAGGGTCTGCATTTTCCGGTATACCTTGGACAATTATGTTTCTTCCGCGGAAAAACTTCTCGCGAGATTCTTTAGGGACGTTTCGTATGATACTGCGCTCAGAGTACGGTATGTCGGGCAGTATTCTTACGTTACCATCTGATTTCAGCAAGTGGCTTGCTAGCAAGACGTCCTCTACGTCGGTAGCATCCTTAAGTGTTACTCGGAGAAGCCTCGGGTGATTTAGATGCTTAGAATCCTTTCCTCGAGTGAGCCGGGTGACCGTCAAAGGCTCTATTCTAGGAAGTTCGAGCTTCTTGTTCAATTCACCCCAGAGCATCCTGTCGTTTTTGTCCTGCAGACTGAGAGGAAGATCAGGATTGTCAACGAGGTTCATGATAACGAGAGAATCGTCACGAACTGTTGTTAATTTACCAGGTTTCACGATGGGTTCAGGTTTAGTAACTTGTTGTTTGGAGGTCAGTGTGCGTTTATGAATCATGGGCTCTTTATTGACCGGACGAACAGTCTTGGGGGTAGACTGTGAGACTAAATCACCAGTTATTTTCCGTGCAGCAACACTTGGGTTGCTCGGCTTAGGCGGTGATGCCTGGTTCTTTTGTGCTCTCTTAACGTGAGTCGAATCACCTGCAGGGTTTTTGGCAACCACTGTTGTGTTCGGGGACCCTGAGATGGGAGACCCGAGTTTGCCTAGGGAGTTCAGTACCGTCGACGTAATGATGGTACTGAGCCTCGACACGTCGTTGTTAGTGTTGATGGATGCTCCATCGATGGAATACCTATCGACATCCCTGTTTTTGAGTCCGTTCCACCCTCTTGTTTGTATATCAGTTTTTTTACTATCGTTTTCCAAGTTAACTGACAACTTGTTCCGAAGACCTCTCAGTAGGACAATGATGT